CGGGTGCGCAGCTCGCCCGCAGCCGCCGTGGGCGCAGGGGCCGGGGCCGCGCGCCCACCCAACGGCTTTCGGACCCGCGCGGGGTTCTCAGCATCTCCCCTTCACCCGCCCCTCACCCCCCGGTTAGCTCCTTCTGTGAGGATGCCTCGCTTGTTTCGGAATCCCTCTTTTATGGGGAGAAGTTGCGGTTATTTAGCTGGATGGTACATGGGTTCTTTCTGCTCTACTTAGGCGCTTCTAGTAAACTCCCAGACTTCTTTACCATTGATACTTAGGTTGAATAGTTGCATTTATTCGATTTCGTTCAATTTCATAGGCTTTCCTTTCCCTCTAACATTCCATGAGCACCCGCCACCCTTGCCCCCTCCTCCTCCCCGGCCCAGCACGCAGCGCGCGGAGCTACCTGCCTCCCGCAGGGGGAGCCACGCTGAGCGGGGGCCCGGCTCTGCTCCTCGGGGTGCGGGCTTGGTCGCCGCGCGCATCCAGGAGGCACTGCCTCGGTCAAATGGGCAGCGTGCCACGTGCTCTGCAGGATCACGGGGAATATTAGCTGAACTAGGCATGCAGGCCGCCTTGCTTATAGCCTCCGTGCAACTTCAAGGCATTTCTTTCCTGTTGGGGGCTCACTTTATAGACAACAGCTTTCCTGCAAGTCATACCGTCTGAACAGTGAGTTGGCTGTCTTGTGGGAGTCCGGGCTCTCACTGAGGTCACGTGACCATTCGGCCTGTTGGTTCTTGGGACCCTTAAGGGGACGTATTGAGCTCTTTAGACCTGACCCAGAAACTACCTCACACTTCCCTAAATTCAAAGTGGCAGAGATGCAGTAAAATTCTGCAGCGATCTGAAGGCTGTCACCAAATTACACCTTAAAACTCACTTGCAACTGACCTTCTGTTTTCTCCCATATGTACCCATCACTGTTATATACAATTATTGGCAACTAAAAGCAACAAAATTGTGTTTTACTGCAGTGCTCCCCTCCCCTTAGCATGTGTAACATATACACTAGAGGTAGGTAAATATTTGAAAATCACTGTGCCATTCCACTGCTAATAATGTATGTGAGTATGTTCACTCTAATCTACATGATAGCACATTTTTTCCTCACAATTTACTTATTTATTTTACTGTACATGGACATTTGGTTGTTTTCATTTGTTGACTATCATAAATGGTGGTTTCTTAAAATGCTTATGATTGTAAGTTTATGAAACTTTTCCTTAAAGTTTCTTTCACTGCTTTTATGCTTCAAAATTTTTTCTCCATTTTGGAATTATAAACAAATTCACTTATATCTTTTAGTGGTTGAAAATGATTTTATAGTAAATATTTAACTATTAAATACATGTGGAATTAGTTTAGTGAATGATATGTTCTAAATACAATTATTTTAATCCAAATAGTTAAGTGATTAAACCATTAGATGATTAATCCATTTTGAGCCTCTGACCTTAAATATAAATATTAGTGATCTGGCTCTGGCTGGTTAGCTCAGTTGATTAGAACGTCACCCCAATACGCCCAGGTTGCTGGCTGGATCCCCATTAGGGCACATTCGAGAATCAACCAATGAACACATAAGTAAGTGGAACAACAAATCGATGTTTCTCCCTCTCCCCCGCCTCTCAAAATCAATAAATTAAAAAATTTTAGTGATCTGGTAAATTATTAAATAGATGCATGTGCTTTCATATCAGTTCTCTATTTCAACGTATTCACACTGATTTTGAATAAAAGAATTAATGTTTAGTTGCAATAATGAAATACATGTTAATGTTTCATTGATACTAAATTAAATTGTAAAGAAAAACTACACACTACAGCAAACTCTCCCAGAACATTTATAATTCACATTACATGTTTTCTGTTATTCAGTTTATAATACAGGCTATCAATGCAAACTATCTCCTAAATCATTTTAATTTTTGAAATTTCAAAGTGTTTATCAAACTCATGGCAGCTAATCTAAGCATATACTCATTTTTTAATCAATAAAGTTTTATAATTAACATTTGCATAAGAAGCACAAATTAATGTCTATGTTAAAATAGGCTCTCTAGTTAGTAGATTTTTTTAGAATTCTTTTGCGCTGATTCTACTCCTCATTTAAATCCCAGATGAACTTCAGAGGAAAATCTTTCATCTTCCTTTGGAATATTTTGTCAAATCTTTCATTTTGATCCACTGTAAAGTGATGTTTCCAGTCTCCAATGGTACCTAGAAATAAGCACAAGATCAGCAGCTGGGTGACTAAGTGGCACTATCAGGGCAAAAGTTTCTTCCCACCCACTTTAATCTCCTCTCCAAGCCACGCCAAATATCTGTTAGTTTTCTGTGGGGTCTGTAACCTCATATTTCCATATACAGAAATGAACAAAGAAACAAACTGAAAAACACTTGCAAAGTTCACTTCAACTCCAGTGTATCTTTGAGCAATATTAACCACTTCGTACAACATTGATTCAAGAACACCAATCATCCTGTGTTCTAAAAAGCACAATATAAAACATAAGCTTTTGGGGGGGATGTAAAATTTGAGTGCAATTTACTTTAGTTTGAAATTATTTCATTATTATAAGGAAATAAAAGCAATAAGAGTAATTGAAAATTATATTACGAATCAGTTCTGACTGAGAGATGCTGCTAACAAAACCCTGCTGGGTTTTTAAATACATTTTCTTCCATTCTCAGGGCAAGCCAACAGGTCAGCATTTACTAAGTATCTGCTATTGGCTCAATATTTGGTTTCCTCATATGTGCCTTCAAAAATGACAATATATGCATTTCAAATGACCTTATGTATTAAAGATTTGAGATTTATTTAACATTTTTTAAAATTCTAAATGGTGGTCTAAATGTAGGCTGGGCTACTGTTAATATCTGGAAAAGGGTACATTTGTACACATGTATTACCAAACCAGAGTGAAGACTGATTACAGGTAGCCCACTCCTCAAACTTACCAGATTTTGGATATGTAATTATGAAGACATCATCATCTCTAATTTCAAAATCATCTAGATTTTCTAGAAAGTCAAGATCAGCTAGAGAAAATTCAAAATTATAGCCTTTAAAGTTCAACATACGTATGTCTGTGTTGTCCATACTTATTCACCTACAAATAAAAACAAAATTATTTTCAATTTCTTAGTAGTGCATAGTAATTACTAACACTTATTGAGTGTTTAGTATATGCCAAGCACCTTTTAAATGTCGTATGTGTCTCAACTCATACCATACTGAACAGTGTGCATATATAAATCACATAATCTTCACAGCAAACAAACATTCCTAGAGATTTTATCACTATTTTAGAGATGAGGAAACTCAGATACTAAAAGGATAAACAGCCATTCTTAAAACCCCAGGAGGGAGGTATTATCGTGATTCCACCCATAGACCTGAGGAAAATAAGGTATAGGTTGTTCAAGGTTGCTCAGCTAGCAGACCTGGCAGGATTTGATGCCAGACTATATGGCCACAGAGTCCATGCCTTCAATCACTTTACCTAATATAGTTCCTTAGTATTTTATATTTTTATTACTATAGAAATAGGAAATTCTTCAATAAGTACAACTTTTTCTTTTTCTTTTTTTTGGAACAGAAATAATCTGTTGTCCCTGAAAGAAGCTTCTAAGGCTTTGGGATCTGCATGCCATTTCAAATAAATTGTGGAATATACTATGTGTGAGTAATGCCAATTGGTTTTACTTTGGAGATATCTCCCTCATATAGTTGCAAGATATTGTGTGGTTATTATTAAATTTTCCAACTGGATTTTTATCAGAAATCCTAAAAAATTATAAATAAGAAAGTCAAAATAAAAATAGGAAGCAAGTAGTCTAAGTACACATCTGTTCAAAAATTGGACCAGCTAGACATCTACCTATTAGCTCCACATGAGAAATCTGTTCTTAAATGTTAAATTGATGAGGAAATCCCAGAAGTTCTAATAACACTAAGTGTAGAACAAACACATATTTTAGTTATATACTCTTTTAAAATTTCTTTGCACACCAAGAAAATGAATTTGTTAAAAGTTGCAAATATTACATTGTCTAAATTACATGTCAAGAAACAACACTTAATTCTCTTACAAACAATCTAACTCACCTGACCAATAGAGCAAAAGTCAGAGGTTAGACTTTTGCTGAGTAAGAGTAGAAAGATCACTTGCGTTAGAATGACCTGGGTTTTTGGTAAATGTTCATGTTCTACGCCCTATAATAGACTGATAGAATTTCTGGAGTGTGTGCCCTGGAAATATGCATTTTAAAGACCCTGCCAATCACACTACAAAAATAGGAACCAAAATACAGATCAAGCACTATTGGTGTTTCAATGGATGTTTCATCTCAACCTCCAGAGAAGCCTTTGTGGATGTTATTTGACCTCCAATTAAAAGATCCAGTTAAGGCCCTACTAACTTGCTAGAACTTCCCTCACTCAAGTTGAAGTCCAGGCAACCTCAACTATTGAGAACTAAGGATAGAAGAGACTGGCCGATAAATCAGAAAGAATATGTTTCAAGAGATAGGTGGAGTGTTATTATGACATTGGCATCATAGATTTTCCAGGAAAAACCTTGGATAACTCAGTCCTTGGAGTGTGGTGGGGAGGAATTTGTACTGTGTAACAAAGACAAATGGAAAAGTCCATGAAGTATGATTATGGGTTGAGAATGAAATCTAACCTGTATTAGCCAAAATCTATGGCGTCAATTGGCTACCATTTCTGACACAGTTAGAATTCCATTTTGCCTTGGTAGCAATTTACATTAAACATTTGGATGGTATGGCAAATCTAGTATTGTCAGAGAAGCTGACACCACACAGGTGGGTGTGTAGCTACATGAGCATGTGCCCTTGGAGGCAGAGAGGCTGCTCTGGCATAAACAGACACTACAGAAATTTGAGAAACAAATTCCACAATATTCCCAGTCATAGTGTTTAACGGCAAAGCAAACCAGTTCCCACTCTCGAGCACACTGCTGTATATGAAGGTACTAGCTCTGTATACGAAAAGCAGAGATATGGAATTCTCACACAGATTTTTCATGCAAATAGCAGTTGATGATTTTTCTTTCAAAATAGTTGTCATCTATGCTCTTGTTGTCCTTACCTAAAAAACCCCTGAATCTTAATGTTAAAAGAACTATGTTTTGCTCACCACTATGTATGCTATGTATTTGTCTTTGAAATATATTAGTGTCACTTTAACTCGGTAACTAAGTATTGTTTCACAATGACTTGTGATTTTACAAAAGCAAGTGTTTTAAGACCTTTTGATATTTTTTCCAAACTTCCCCAAAATGGAATTCTAAATGAGATCTATTTCACTTTGAACTACTTCAAATATTTTCCAAAGGGCCCCTGGAACATCTCAACAGATGTGTTCCCTCTCTCAATAGATGTGTTCTCTCCTTATAATGAGAGAAATGAACTAATTAGGCTTATTTGATAAGTTAAATTACATCATAAGTATTATTACATAGTGATGCTAAGCCTTCTCAGTTATACATTATTAATATAATTGTTCCAGAAATTGTATAAGATTCCAAAAAGTCTGATATGTGTTGCTGCCAATGGGGAAAGGTACAGGTGAAGACCAAACAGTGTACATTAATGATTAACCAGCCAGCAGTGCTCTCAGAATCAGGGATTCACCCGAGAGGGAGGATTAGGCTGATGCTGGCCTAGGGCCTCAGGATAGACTGGCTCACCGCAAATAATGGACGGTACATGGTTCAACCAGCGCAAAGGGACTCAGGGCTGCAGGCTGGGCTCCTGTCGTGACCCTCATGCCCACTGATCTCCAGGAGAATGAGCGGAGTTGTTTTTATTCAGTAACGCTACCGTTGGGCCTTTCCATGTTTGTGTTGTTTCTTATGAAACAGAACTGGGAAGAATGGAGTGTGAAGAACTGAGGCAATGAGTAAGGAAGGCCACATCTACAAGCAGTACATAGATCACCTTTAAGGATCGGGTATTCTACAACATTCTCGACACAAATATAATTCACTGGTGCCTCGGTTTTCCAAGTCTCCGTGAGGAACATCTGGGGTCACCAGCGCCGCAAACCCGGCAGCAAAGGCTTCGGTTTCCGACTCCCCTGGGAGTGGACGGGCCGGGGCCTCCGCTGGAAGCAAGTTTATAGTTTCATCTTTTCTATTGTCACCTTTTACTTAGTAAAAACTTGATCCAAAACAAAGCTCTGATCTCTTTAATTGGAGAAATACTTACTGCTAAGAAAATAAGGGTTTAATGTGACAGAAATTTGACCTTGCAAGTATTCAGACTGCCTTTTTCTCACTGATTTATAAATGTAACATAAATGAATAATAACCCACTTCATGAAGACCAAGTATGTTAATGATTAGAAAGAATAATGTGAGTCAATAATTAAAATAAATAACTTGAGGAACTAAACTAAAACTTATGGTTGTTCAACTTTTAAGCTTTATGCCAATCTTATAACAGTGAAAAGGTGGAAATTTACAAGCTTAAGACATTTTAGCACAATCCCTGTCCTATTACTTATTGACTGACCACTGAGCGATGTTGGCCCAGACTTAAATATAAAACAAGATTATTATTTTTTAAATATATCTTTATTGATTTCAGAGAGAAGAAAGGAGAGAGATAGAGAGATAGAAACATCAATGAGGAAAGAGTCACTGATCGAACCCGAAACCCGGGCATGTGCCCTGACCGGGAATCGAACCCTGATCGCCTGGATCTCAGGTAGAAGCTCAACCTCTGAGCCACGCCCAGCTGGGCAACAAGATTTTTTTAAAAACCCATAAAACTTAGTCCAACACCAAAGACTGCATACTGCTGGGAAAATAGACTCTTCCATACAATTAGTTCTAGGAGCTCAGTAAACAATTAAAAACCAAACAAAGCAAAACCGGGAAGGGCGATTAATGCCAAAAAACAGAGTGGTTAACAGAAACTGTCTGAATGAACTCAGAGATTCTCTCTTGGAATCTGGTACATTTCGTTGAAAACTGGGTATTAGAGCTGGTCTAGATTCTGATCTCCTAGAGGTGGTGTTTTTCTTTTTTCCACAGGTCTTTGAAGATCTGCTCAGATTTGGGGCTTTTTGTTTTTATTCTTTTGTCTTTCTTTTCTTCAGATTGAATAATCTCGATTAAACTATCTTCATATCCCGAGGATTTTGTCTGCCAGATCGAATTTGCTGTTGAGACCTTCCAGTGATTCATGAAATAGAATGTATTTTTTAATAGGTACTGGGTCAATTTTTATTAACTGCTTTTCCCCCCTGCATATGCGGCACAGTTTCCTATTTTATGACACTTAAGATCCACTGTCTTAGCAAATTTCAAGTATGCAATACAGGATTAGCTATAGTACCCAAGCTGTGCATTAGACCCTCAAAACTGACTCACCTTATAGCTGAAAGTTTGTACCCCTGAACATCATCTCCCCATTTTCTTCAACCTTTGTCCCTGGAAACCAGCATTGTTTCTTTGTTTTTATTATTAGAATTTAAAATTTTTCCCATGTAAGTGATACCATACAGTAGATTTCTTTCTCCGTCTGGCTTTTTTCACTTAGCATAGTACCCCACCCCCCACCAAGTTCACTCACGTTGTTGAAAATGGCAGGGTTTCTACTTCTGTATGCCAAGTCTGGAGGGTCCATGACCTGCAAGTGATGAATGTTAAGTCTGCTGTTATCTGGATGAAAGAGAGATGACAATAAGGCAGATTGTCTTTGGGGCAGAAAAAGTGAATTGACAGAGGTATTGCTGAGGTATTCAGAAAAAAGGGTGATAATATGCTATAATCTACAGATTTAACAAAGGAGACAGTAAACAAATCTACAGGAAGCTTTTCACTCATCTTGTTGAGCCCATCATTCCACCCACAGTACCCACAAGGAACAAAATGTTTACTAGCTGCTCACTCTGTACTAGACCTTGAGGTTTGTGGGAAAAACCCTGGGAAGGTTATCAACATATTTGACCGAAAGATCATATATCATTATGAAATAATATTAAATTATTTATTGACCCAAAGTGACAACAAAAGGTATTAAACACAAACAGAGGCTAGCAAAACTTTAGTTCTTAGTAATAAAGAACCTGATTACTGCAACATAATGTATAACTATTTTAATAATTCATAGAACCTTTGCTTTCTAGGCAGATACAGAAAAAACTCTTACCTTTTTTTTCCTTTTAATAGACTAGGAAAGAACCAAACAAATTCTCCATTAGTTCACTTTGGATATATAGATTTATTTATCTAACTAAGTTCATTATTCAACTTATCTATATTGTTTTCCAAGATTTTTCTTCATAAACCTTCTTACCCATTCAGAAATAACCAGTTTTAGGACAATTTATTTTTTTTCAACAAGTATGTTTGTACTTTATATCTTCTATTAGCAAGCCCATGAAATTTCTTTCCAACTTAATTGGAATTCATAACTCTTAGACCTTAATTTTCTTTAGTGACAATTAAAAGTAAGCAATTAACTTTCTTTAGATTGATAGTTTTATGAACACATTTCATAACTCCTAGAAATAGGTTCTTTCATACTTCTATCTTCAAGAGACATACTTCAAATCAAGTATAAGATATAGTCATTAACAGATCCAAATCCACCGTCTAGCTTCTCTGCAATAAGAAGCCAAAAATAGGAAAATAGATCAATTAATATTTCAGTATCCTATTAGTTCAAATATTCAGATGTTTAATAATTTTTACTATTTAATCCAGCAAAATTCCAAAGTTCTAAGTCACCAAAGACTTTGGAAATCTATGTTTAGGTATGTATAATTATTACTGAAAAGTTTTACCAAAAATCCTTCATTATTTCCTTATATTTATTAGCTACTTCTTTAAAACTTCATGAAATTTTTAAAGTCAACTATTAACTGTCATTTTCTGGACAAATTTTGTAACAGAAATAAATAACATGAATTTATTCCTGCAAATCCAGGCAAAACAAAATTATGTTTTATGTTAATGACTTCTAAAAGACATCAATTAAACTTATATCTCCCATTTGGATCCTTGGTGATTATTGCAGTCCTTTCATATGATTAAAAGTGAGCTGTCTAATGTTCTAGTGTCCTTGGCCACTTTTAGAAAGCTGGAGAACTGGCTGGGGAAATATCAGGCCCTGTGGCTTGGATTTAAAAATGCCTCACATTTTTCCTTTTGAGTTTTACTGTTAGGGGCAGGGGTGGGGTGAGACCTTTTCCCCCTGTTTGAACCATCAATTTAGATTCTTTCAGAGTAGAATTTTTATCATGTAACAACATGAAATCTTGCACATAAGAAATCTTATCCCATTTACTAGACCTCTGGCAAAACAATTCTGATTAGTCATTGACTTAAATTGGCCAGTTAGTTAAAATACGACCTAATGGACCCTGATGGAACCAAGACTAAGTCACTTGTTTCAAAAGAGGAAAAAAAAAAATCCAAGGAAAGACAAGGTCAAAATAAATGAATTACAAAACAGGGATGATCAAAGCAAGTCCCCCAAAGAGAACAAAACAAAGAATGATTGTAACCCCTTTCATTTCAGACAGATGAGGGCTCTGAGAGAGCACTCAGAGCAGACAGACCAAGCTCTCAGGCAAACATGCCCTCCCACAGAGGAACTGGGGTTAAAGTCATAGTGTTATCCCCTGCCAAACCGGTACCACAGGTGACCCGGTGCTGAGTCCCAGATGGTTAAGAAGACCAGAGGGCAGTGCTAGAGGACCCCTGGTGTGCACCCCAGTTTGACCTACCCAGTCAGACTTGGAGTTCATAGACTCCCCAGAGACCTGTTTCCTCTCACCAGCTAAGCATTTCAGGCAGCTAATGCCTTGAGGGGGAGATCAGGGAGAGTCCCTGAAATAAAGAAATCTCTGTAGTCCCTGTCATGGGGTCAGCCTGCCACCAGTAGCTGGGACCCTCAGCCCAGGCTCTCCAGGCCTTACCAGGGTCCACACAGTCCCAGTGTTGTTGCCAAAAATTGTAATTGAAAATCCAGATTCTGCTGCCTGCCACACCAAAAACCGAATTTGTGAGACAGGTGCTGGTAAAAGGAAAGAGGCTTATTCGAGTACCAGCACCACGAGAAGATGGGGGACTTTTCCCAGCCCTCAAAAACCCATCTTAAGATCTCAGTGTATGTCATGCCCCAGGTGACTGCTTCCTGCTGGGCTGAGTAGGAATGGTAGGGGATTGTAAAAAAGACAGGGAGACAGAAAGTGGGATCAGGAGGTTCACCGCATGCTGCTGGCATACAGGCGACACTAAACAGGCTTTGCAGCTTTATTTTATACAACCCTTGGTTATCTCTAAATCAGTCTTAGCACAGGATATTCAGCCTGGCCACAGCCACAGTTCCCCCAGGTTGCCCCCAGGCCAGGGCAAACCTGTTTGCTCCCATCTTGGTCTGCACCGCTCAGTGCTTCCTGATCCCCAGGGAGGAGGCTTAGCCTTTGGCGGAGTTTACAGCCAGCTCCCCACAAGTGCAGGCAGAAGTTTTTATAAGGAGAGGGAGTGAAATCAGAACAAAGACTTGGGGGCAGGGGGATGGCGAGACTTCTTTCCCGGGTCAAGGCAGCAGGGCTGCTCCTCCTGAGAAGGGGGAGTGTGGGGAGGAGAGGGGGCTGAGGGAGTGTTGCTTCCCAAAGTTTTCTCTCTGCATCCATTCAGCATTATTTCTCTCTCTCCAAACAGGACCTTGTAGTATTTGTTTTGTTTGTTTTATGGTCGTCCAAGAGTATTTTTTCCATTGCTTTTCAGAGAGAGTGGAAGGGGTGGGAGAGAGGGAGAGACAGAGAGGGAGAGACAGAGCGAGGGAGGGAGGGAGGAGGGAGGAGGGAGAGAGAAAGAGAGACAGAGGGAGGGAGAGAGAAACATCCATTGGTTGCCTCCCACATTGGCCCCAACTGGGGCGGGGATGGAGCCTGTGACCCAGGTAGTGCCCTTGACCGGAATTGAATCCGAGACCCTTCTGTCCCAGGCCGAGGCTCTAACCATTAAGCCAAACCTACTAGGACAGGCTTTGTAGTTTTGTTGCGGACACCTGTGGATTTTGGAGGCTGGCACTGGGCATTCCCTCCTCCCCCCAATAGCCTTCTCTTAAGCTGTAAAAAGAAGCTAGGTGAGGAACAGTAACACATGGTTTTATTTACTCATTCTTAAGACAGCAGGTTAGCTGCAGCCTGAAAACAAACGGAATGCATAGCCTTTTTATCACTTCCCTGGAATATAAATTTGTGGGGATATGTCTAGTTTCTTTCCTGTCCTCTCCCTTCCCCTAGTCATGGAGTTCCCCTTCTCCCCAAAACACACACAGACACACACACACACAGACACACACACAGACACACACAGACACACACACACACACAAATCCAGGTCCTGATGAAGAGCAGCAGGTGCCTCCAGCTGCGGCCTGAGCAGCTGCACAGACTTTCACTTCACTGTTTTACTTCCCAGCTCCTCTGCTAGAACAGCCACTGCTGCTGCCGCCTGTCCCCACTGCCACCAGACTCCCCTGGTTCCAGACACAGTCTCCTCCAAGATCCAATCCGCCCACTTTCAGATGCACAGGTAGATGAATGTCTTGGGTGTCCGGGTGTGCTGTGCAAAGACACTTGTTTGCTTATGATGCCCAATCAGCTATAAATCAATGAAGAGGGGAGTAGGAAGAACAACTTACATCACCACGATGCTGATGTCACTCTCAGTTTCTCTCTTTTCTATGGGGGTAATTGAGAACTTGAAAATAAGCAATCTCTTCTCTCTGGAATTTTGTCTTCCAGGGGACTGAGGTGAAGTTCAAATGCAGCACAATTATGTGGGGAGCAGGCTGTAAGCTGCCAAAGCCCTTAGAGTCCCAGAGGCTCCGCCAAAGGCTAAGCCTCCTCCCTGGGGATCAGGAAGCACTGAGCGGTGCAGACCAAGATGGAGCAAACAGGTTTGCCCTGGCCTGGGGGCAACCTGGGGGAACCGTGGCTCTGGCCAGGCTGGAGAACAGTGACATCCTGTGCTAAGAATGATTTAGAGATAACCAAGGGTTGTATAAAATGAAGCTGCAAAGCCTGTTTAGTGTCGCCTGTATGCCGTCAGCATGCGGTGAACCTCCTGATCCCACTTTCTGTCTCTCCTGTCTTTTTTACAATCCCCACCGTTCCCACTCAGCCAGGCGGGAGGAGTCACGGGGGATGTGACATAATTATTACTTGGAAAAAGCAGGGATGCAGGAAAAGTTGGCAGGGACCATAAGGCCAGGTTCTAAGGAACAACTAGAGGTGCCTGCTTTTCTGGACAGAAATAAGCAGTCTGGGAAACACACTCTGTCTTTAGCAAAAGGGACTAACTCTATATGAACAAAAAATTCTCATTAAGTGGGAAAAATGTATTTGTATCACATGGTAATTCAGAATAAAATTCACGCACATCTCATTCTCCCATTCACAACCGCAACACAAGCTTGGGCATGTGCTTACTTTTGCTTGTTTTTTTCAACATAAAAAATATGGAACAATAAAAAGAAAAGACACTCAGCTTGTTCCAACACAATCTTTTGGATATAACTATCACTTAATATTCTCCAAGTATCGCTGCAGGACCTGCGTGATTGCCATATTCACAGGCATCTCTCATAGAGTATTCCCTTTGCTCATCCATTAGCTAAATGATTTCTTCCCTAGAAGCTGCCTCCCAGCACTGATTCAGATACAAGCCAAGGTGTTAATTATATTGTCTTAATTCTCCAGCAATCCCATAAAAGGGTTACACTCTCTGACTCAGCCGTTTTTGTTTTTTTTTGGGGGGGGGTATTTACTATTTTCTATAACCAATCTTGTCTTGTTCTCAAATCTTCCTTCCCACTATAAGAAAATTTAAGCCTACAGATTAAAGATCACATGTCTGTTTCAGCGTTAGACAGTGACTTGAGTAAATTGAAAGATGATTAAAACTTCCTGTCAGGGCAGTTTCGCCCTTTTGGACAGATCTTCCCTATTTCTCCTTCCCCAAAGGGCAAGTGACAGGGAAGAAGCTTAGTGTCCACATATGGTGGAGGGAGGCTCTTCTAGTCTGGCCAAGTCCTGTGTTCCTGAGCTGTGCAGGCCTCCACGAGGACGCCTCCCATCCACCGGGCCACCCCGCCCAGGTGTCTGTCCCAGGAAACTGGCAGCTACTGCTGGTGACACGGGTCTTCCTTCC